TTTTTCTTTTATAACTAATATACCTACATTTATCTACACAAAATATTCCCTTATACCATCTACTACATTATTCACTCAATCTTTTCCAATACTTAACAGAGATTTTCGTATAGAACGAGGTCAATATTTATCAGTTGGAATATTTTCAAGAAGTCTTAGTGAAAATATTACAGTGTGTTTACGAACGACAGGACATGCTTATTCGGGCCAACTTGCTGACAGTATAAACATATTTGAGACTAACACAAAATGGGCAGGATCAGAATTCGGTATTGCCTTTAGTTATGTTGTCCTTATTGATAGTAAGTTCTATCGCATGTATTTATTTATTTATAAGAATTTTCTTATTTTTTCTGTACAAAAGAAGGAATTTTATTGATATTTTAGGTATTTGATCGTGTTTAAAATAATTTAAATGGCACTATTTAATCATCGGATTATATTTTTAACAGATGCATGACATTACATAAAACCTCATGTGCATTTTATTGTCTTGAAATATTCTACTTCATATGTATTCCTACTCATATATTAGTCAATTTATTTTATATATAATCTCGCTAATTGTTATTGTCTAAAATGAATGAATTAAATTACATTTTGCCTAATAAATTAGGAAATATTCCACTTCAGCTATTCTTTGTTACCAAACTGATCTTTAACATTGACGCACACAAGAGATCATTGCCTTGCTTTCTTGTTTGTAAATATGAATAAACAGCAATGAATAACGAAAAAAGGAAAGTTAGACTAGCAGAAGAAATGTATAGCAAAAATATACATCTACAATGTAAGTCTGCTTAATTGACCATCTATTTACTGTACATTTTTCAAAATTTGTGATATCTTACCTGTAGTCACAAGAACACAGATTTGTATAATCACTAAAAGTATGTGCAGTGCCTTGAATGACAACATGTGCATCAAAACCTAAACAACTGCCATAATGATCACAAGTTACAGGGAAACCAGTGTTATTACAATCAGTAGCATTTTTATTATGCGGAGTATAAGTATTAGTACGAATAGTCCGAGAACAAGTCTCATCAGCACCCTCTTCACAAGATATCGCCTTCTTTGAATCCGACGATGGAATTGATAAAATGAAAAGAATACATTACTGTAGATTACTTAAAATGTAGTAAAATAAATTCTGTTTCAATTAGGAAAGCATATAATTTAACCCTAGTCCTTCTGTGCTCTTTTACGCGCTAAAATAGCAATTCCCGCTTCTGTAAAATGATTTTCTCGGTTTTAAGATTACTGTCTGGACAAAAGGATATTACTGTTATATCGAACTTCATATGAAAATACTAACAGTACGTTAGTTCTTTATTTAGAATAGTTAATACAAAAAATTTGCTTTACACAATGTTCATTACAAACAAATGCAGAGCAATTATAACATTTATTTGGAGTTTTTCTGCCCTTAGACGTTTCACATACTGAACATCATTTTCATCTGAATTTTGTGAATTTCTGATTTGATGCGTGATAGCGTTTTCCGGGAAACTGATTTTTACAAGATTTCCAAAGAGGATTAAATGAGCTTTAGATATCCTTCCATATAGAGCGGTGTAGGCGGTATAAGCGGTATAGGCGGTAATTTATCTACTTAGCTTCGCAGTGTTTGACAAAGAAAATAATTCGATTGTGCACTTACAAATACTTACCAAACAAAAAGCTGTCATCACCTTCCGCAGCACCCTCAATGAGTTGATAGTATCTTATACCGCCTATACCGCTTATACCGCCCCATACTGAAATTCAATTTCCAGGAATTTCCTGGGCATCCGAAATGCATTGGATTTCCCGGCTAACGCTATAATGCATCATATGTTCTGTTCAACATGTTTACTCTTTCTCAGATTGTTTGTCAACAGTAGTCGTGAAAACCAAATCATTACCTGAACACAATATTCGAAGACTTTTTCGTGAAGAATATAGACTAGTTCGGCTCTCAGACATCGTTCAACTCTTTCTTCGGTATGGTCACGTCACATAGCTGATCCACACATGTATCCATGTCTCATTTTAGACGTCGTCGATAAAAGTCATCGAAACAAATGTCTCTAGAGCCATCCGGTGTTAATTCGTTGCTGAACGAATCACTTTTACCGGATGATATCTTCGCACGAATAGACGATGACTTCTTTTCCATTGTCAAGCTGGTGGCAGGTGAATCTGTATTCAAGATTTTACAAGCACAACTCATCAACTCAGCAAGAAAATTGCTGAATACAGGTGACGTATTCGAAATTTTTCAAGTTGAATCAGATGAAACAGATGCTATAAAAGCCGCATCTTGTTTTCGATCCAAAACCGGACAATACATCGTCAAGCCGGGTATTCAGACCGGCTTGTCGAATTTAGTCAAGCTGTTGCAGCAGAAACTGAAGCAAAAAGAACTGCTGCTGAGCAATGATGATGAACCTCGAAACACACACATAACTGGCGAATTCCTTGACAAACATCCTCTATTAAAATCTCTAATTAAATGGTATCAACAAAATGATTCGGGAAAAAGCAACAAAGCAAATACATTCTTGTCATCATTTATTGATAACTTAACGATCAATCTAAAGCAGTCGTCACACAATTTCAGATACACGGAACCAGTGAAAAAATTTGCCATGTGTTTATACATATTAGGTGGCAGGCAATGTTATGAGTTTGTTCGCTTAAACTTACTAGGTGCCTTACCTAGCCTGACAACACTAATCGATATGATAAACCAATCGAATTCAACGTTAACTGAAGCGCAATTTAGATTTGAATCACTGCAACAAGCCCACTCAAGGTTTGCGTTTTCTTCTGAAGACACAACTGGTGTAATTCGTAAGGTGGAGTACGATTCGTCCACCAACTCATTCATTGGATTGCCAACGTCGCTTGTTAATGGCATACCCGAATTGTATCCCTACCGAGCTCATTCGTTTGAAGATTTAAAAACGATTTATGACACAAATGAAGCAGAAAGATTATTGAATGTCCACATGGTTCAAAGTATATCTACACGAAGTGATCCAACGAATTTCCCGAAGCCATTCCTGTTATCTGCTTATGGTGTTGATAATACATCTACAAGTATAGATATTCTGTGTCGATGGATATATATTTTTGAAAATTGTCTAAACAACGGTGTTCGGATAATCGGTTTTTCTACAGGTAACTTATATTCAGATTACAGTTCAGAAAAGTATATTTTTAATTACAAATAGATGCAGACAATAAATACATGAGTGCCATGCGTCTTGCAAGTAACTTCTTTGCATCGCTGCCTCATTTCAAATTGGATCAACATCCGAGTGCGTTCAAGATAGATTTACCAAAGGATTGGACATGGTTCTTTCTCAATCGAAATCAACTCTTCTTGTTTCTGCAAGATCCAGTTCATCTCGTGACAAAATGGCGAAACCGCTTACTATCATCGACAGCGGAGTTATGTTTCGGTAACGATGAAATTCGTATGGGGCATGTAGAAAGTCTACTCAATAATGACAATTACACAAAACTGGATCATTGTTTGACCAAGAGTAATATTGATCCGAAAGATCGACAAAATTACCGATCGTGTATTAGACTAATATCAGATGACGTGATTCGTCTGCTTCATGGTGAAGACAATACACACGGAACCATTGTTTATTTGAAACTCCTGAACCTGATCGTGAAGCCATATGTCGAT